CGAGACCGAGATCGGGACCGAGACCAAGACCGAGGCCGAGGCCGAGACCGAGCCCGAGCCCGAGCCCGAGCCCAAGCCCGAGTCCGAGTCCGAGTCCGAGTCCGAGTCCGAGTTTGAGAGGGTGAAAGCCCAAAGCGTTCGTCTCCCAGACCCTGGGGGGTTTGGTGAGCTCCAAAAGTATAGTAGGGGGAGGACTGCAATGGAGCCAGTTTGGCCAGGAAAGGCCAGTTTGGCCCAGGAAGGCCGGACCCAGTGTTGGGTGATGAGCTGCCCACTGTGAAGTCCAAGACTAGAGTGAACACAGACCGACAAGTGGGGTAGCTTGGTGAAGTGTTCAAGAGCTGGCTCTAGTTCCCCCGGGAGATCAACTGGCCGATGCTCCCAGTCCAAGTGTGGGTGGCACTACCTACTTAGATACCTGGCGTGGCTCAACGGAACCTCGCTCTAAGCCCATGGCTAGAGCACCTAAAGACGAAAGGCGGGGAGAGTACCCATGAGGCTTGCGTAAGGCCACGGTGTTCCAAAATGGTGTCCCAAAGTCCCAGACTGTGGAATGGAAGAGGGGTAGCCCTCTGGTGTGGTGACCAAGGACACAGTCACACAGTGAGGAAGTCCTAGAGGATAGTGGGACTTAGTGGTCGGGCCGGTGGGCCTTGATCCAATGGCAGTGTTGGCGAACACAGCCAAGGACAGAAAAGGACTTGGTGGGGACCGGAACAGAGATATTGGGGCAGGTTATTCCCCATGTCGGTAGGCATCCTAAGGATGCTAAGGAGTGGATCGGGGATGATCCCTCATGGACGGATGGCCCAGTCTTTGAGAGACGGGACTGTGGTGCAGGTGGTGTTGGACCACCGATGTGACCAAAGTGATTGGGCATGGCCTAGCGTAACGGGCTGGTATGTTGGTGGTGCCTTGGGGTGTCGGTCATCGGACCGGACACGTGGAGCACTTGGACCAAGTGCAAAGGTTGAGTGGCATGGATGCCAGGCTCGGGGCTAGCAAGCCCCAAGCCCTGAGAGGGACTTATGGAGGTTGTGAATGAGACTCCTCCAAGTGGTTGGAGGTGCGGTTAAGTGACTAAAGTAGAATGGAAAATTTAGTCGCTTACAATTTGGTATCGGAGCTGTTCCTTAGTCCGACTTTTATTGGTGCTCAAGTATATCACCACTGGTGTTGGCATCAGTAGGTCTGAGGAGTGGGCCTATCCTTGAGGAGTAGCAGGTCGGGAAGACATGGCTCTCCATTACAGTTCATGTGTGAATTTGTAGACAAGGTGGTGGATAGAAAAGGGCCAATAATGGAACGACTTTGGGATCTTGGGAACAGTGCAAGGTTTTCCTCCTTGAGTTGAGGATGTGATCCAGATGAGCGTTTGACTTAGCAAACTGGCTAATATAGTTGTGGTAAATAACTATAGTTGGGATCACGGGAAA